TAGACCCTTCTACCTTTACCTCTAACTTGTAAAAGTGATATTTCCCCTCTAGAGTAATTTCTACAGACAAGGTTGTCACTGTGTATTTATTTAATAAAAGTTAATCTATATACTGTTACTATCTTGAACTATTTGCCTGCTACTGTGTAATAAAGTAAACTACTACACCTCTACCCCATATATATTTGCAATAGTTAATCACTGTACTAGGTGACCTTGTTACTTGGTTGTATTGTATTAAAAAGGCTACAACCCTGTAACAATATATAGCCAATTGTTAGTATATTTCTTCATTCGCTATAAATATAACTGAATTCTATTATAACAACTCATAATACTAAAATATTCTATTAATTTACTCAAGATACTCATTTGATTACTTTTTTTTCTTATTTGATCTATAGTTAATAGTAACCTCTAATTTTTTTTTGCTTTTTGTTTTTTCTCTTTATTTTATTTTTTCTTTTCTCTTTTTTAACCCTTTTTTTGTTCTATTTTCTTTTTTCTATTAGTCTTCTCTTCCAATCTTTCTTTTCTTTTTGACTTTTTTTATTTATTATCTTAATTTTTTTTTCACATTCTTATTAATTCTTAAAATACAAGATTCAAATATATTAGAATACAAAAAATTTTATATTTACAAAAAAGCAAATACACAATACCAAAGATTTTGCAATGCCTTTGTATACAATTGCATGATCAGTGCTAAGGATCCTAAATATTCAAAAGATTTAGTATGCAAAGAAGCTCTTGATGTGTGAAATAAAATTAAATTAAAGCCCAAAAATGAAATTAAAAATACTATTGAATATCTTATTAAAGGTGCTGCCTCTACTATCCAATATCTAAATCATGTCCAATATTTTAATACTGCTACTTCAACTCAAAATAAAATAACTGAGAAAATCATTGTTCCTGGTGTACTATTACCAAATATTGCAATACAGAAAAAAGTAAAAGAAACCATCATTAAAACAAATGAGGAAATTGCTAAATATCAAGAGGAATATAATTTGACAAC